CTCCCCTAAATTCTTCAATTTTTGATGGACAATTTATAAATATGATCAGAGTAGAATCGGTGCTCAATTCGTTTGTATTGTGGCTGATAGACACAGGTCAATTGCACTTTCAAAGACAAGCGCAATTAACAAAAAACACTATATAATTAACCCAGCACAAATACGAAGATTAATCAACCTTTCCCATCACAGATAGCTTTGTTTGTGAAAAAATATACTGTATGATCTCATTTATATATGGAATCCATCAAAGTCAAATTCATAGATAATAATGAGTAGAAGAATGGTTATAAGGGCTGGAGGATGGAAATAGGCAGGTGCTTGTTAAAGGGTGTGCACACTGAGTTATAAGATACACGAGGCCTGTAACCTAGTGCTAAGCATGGCCACTATAGTTAATATATTATTTGTTTTAAATTTGCTGAGAGACATCTGAAATGTTCTCATCACACACACACACACACACACACATATGCACACAACACACATAACTGTGCAAGGTGATGGATGTGTTAAATATCTCAGCTGTGGTAGTTATTTCAAAACTTAAATGTGTATCAAAACATCATGTTGTATGCCTTAAATATATACTATTTTTTTTCAATCATACCCCTATAAAACTAGGGAAAATAATTCTTTACATGAAAACCAATAACAATAACAAACAAGAGTATGAAGGAAAATGTACCAATTCTATTGCTGTCTTAAATGACTTTTTAAATGATATATATGAGACGTTATAAATACAAATGTTTCTAAATTTCTAGATGTCTGTTGTTGGCATTGGTATTCTGCTGGGAATTTTGGATCCTTACCAAAATATTAATGGAATTTTATGCAATAAAATATGAGAAGATTAGTCATTGAATTTGTTATATAAATCTCAGTTATGCTGAAGGGCACTGTGAGTCATTTACCTTTGTGGACAAAGTCAGACATAGAGGAAGCAACTTTAAGACTACGAGATATTCACACATTGGGATATGGAGACTTAACGTCGGGATATAGAAGCATATATAAATATATACACTATACATATATACACTTTTCTTTTTCATGTGCTAATTTTGCTTTATTTATGTAGAACCAAAAAAGAGACCTTAATAGGAAGTGCTCCTCTTAAATTTGTTCTTTACAACCTCCTACCCTTATTTAATAGTCAGCATTTAGAAATGGAAAAGAAAAAAAAAAAAGAGGCAGAGGCTGGTGGATTGCTCTGAGCTCACAGGTTTGAGATCAGCTTGAGCAAGAGCAAAATGCTGTCTCTAAAAATAGCAGATGTTAAAGCTGCCACCTATAGTCTCAGCTACGCTGGAGGCTGAGGCAAGAGAATCAGTTGAGCCCAAGAGTTTAAGGTTTCTGTGAGCTATGATGCTACAGCACTCTACCCAGGGTGACGAAGTGACTCTATCTCAAGGGAAAAAAATAATCCCTAACCCAGCAGCACCTGTGGCTCAAAGGAGTAGGGCCTCAGCCCCATATGCCAGAGGTATCAGGTTCAAACCTAGCCCCAGGCAAAAGCTGGAAAAAAAAAAGTCCCTAAACCACAAAAATCACTGACTTAGGGCTTGAATTCCTGTCTGGCCAGTCATAAAGAATAAGCATCATAGATGAGTCTCTCATAAAGAAAAAATTCTATATAAATAAAAACAGATGCCAGCTCCTATTAAAGAGTGAAATAAGTCAAGTTTCCAATGTAATCCACAACAGGAAAAGGACAAAAGGATCAGAAAACATACCTGTAGAAATATGTTCATGTTGATGACCTTTACTACCCTGAATTTAGTGTCAGTACATTTGTGAAATTTCCTTTGTAATTTTTTAAAATCTACTTGGCTTACTCATTACTGCAAGTAAATTAATTTTAAAATCCTTTAGTAAAAATCACCGTTTGTGATTTCCAGGCAACTCTAGAAAACAGGAGCATACAGCAAATAATAATTTAAAATTGGGAAGACCCTGAGAAAAAAAATCCAACATTACCCTCCATTATGAACAAGACAATATCCTAGAAAAGTTAAATAATCTGAACAAAGTTATATAATTATTGCCCTAAAGCATTACCTCTAATTACTTTCATTTGTTCTTTTCATAACATCATTCTGCCTACCCAAAGTGCCTACCAAAGTTATTCTGTCATGATAAAGAGATTTTAATTTTTATTCTATAAAAATAGTGTCACTATAGTGCCACTGTAGTTAAGACTGTATTTTGATTTGCAAAGCCCTACACGGAAGCAATTATTCCACTCTCTAGCAACACATCTGCATATCTAAAGGCATAGTCAAGTTGTAAGGGTACTACATCATTATGAAGTAGCTGGATTTTAAACATATCCCAAACAAGAAGGGAAAAGAAAGCTGCAAAGTCCAAAATATTTATACATATTGTGTTACTTTTGTTAAACGCATTTCTAGTCAACAAAGCATATAGAGTTATCTTACATTTAGCTTGCCATAATGTATTTTATTGTGTACTACATTAAGGCATTAATATCCAATTAGGGGCTTTACAAATTGTCATCATCGCTACACACCCTATTCGTGTTATTCATTTTATAGTACTAAGTGATAAGAATTTTGTCCTTAGGTAACAAAAATCTGTTAAATCGCATTTATAAATTTATCTCCACTGTACAGAAAATAACTATAAGTATATTTGGTATCAATATGATAACATGTTTCACCCGGAAAAGGTTGGAAACAATTGTTAGAAAAGTTTCTAATTTATTTCAAATTTTCTAGCTAAATAAGAAGCGTGGTGAGCAAAAATAATCAAAGATCGTATCAAATTGCAAAACAAATATCTACTCTGCATGATCATTGTGGATGAAGAGGTATAATAAGTCTCAAGTAGAACTAACCCCCAATGAAACATTTCGTTTAAGAGTAATGGAATTCCTGACTAGTATTGTGTTGTGTCTAGCACTTAGGTAACCGCCAGGGGTCATGCAAAAGATTGTATCAGCAAATACTTATTAAATAAAACATGGATATTTAACAGCAAGGCATACAATAAAATATTCTTTTTGAGCAGTAGACTAGTGTGAAAAAGAAAGTAAACTGATTTTAGGATCATTAAACTAAATACTACCACTGACTGAAATAACTTATCTTTTTAGCTTGATAGCTAAAAGAGGTTAAGAAGTACTAACTATTGTATAATTACAATTTTACTGTCAGTACTCTCATGTTTTTGCATGTTTATATATACTTTTTGAGGATTATCTTAAAACTAAATTTAGTCACACTGTCTGTTATCTGTAACAAATATACAAAGCTGATTGCTATGGCAATCTTGAAATGAACTACCATCACCAAAATAGCTATTTTGTGAAATGGATTAAAAAATACATTCTGAGATATATTTATAATATGCCTGTTTATAATATACAATTCTACTCACCAATATGTTTTTACTTTTCTTTCTTTCTTTTTTTTTTTGAGACAGAGTCTCATTTTATCGCCCTCAGTAGAGTGCAGTAGCATCACAGCTCATGGCAACTTCCAATTCCTGGGTTTAGGCGATTCTCTTGCTTTAGCCTCTTGAGTACCTGGGACTACAATGCCCAGCT